TGATCCCCTAAATTCAGCTACTTAACACGAGCTTTTTGTCCTAAAAAGCTTTCCTTAGCCCTACTCAACTCACAAAATTCCTTTTGTAACAGAGTCTCCTCCCTATGTAAAGATGAATCCAAAGGTGAATGCTGAATCAGACACTGAACATGTTCTAAATCAGTCCGAGCACGAGTAACTCTCGTAGGTAGATTTGAAAAATGCTCCTTATTGAACTCTTTCAAGGTAAGCTTTAACTTCTTCAACTTCAAACACAGACAAAACATAGGAGTTCCTTAAGGAAAGAAATTTGGGTGATCCATCCAATAATCAAAGAAACAGAATGGAATCTTCCTATGTGGTAGCCCTGCAAGTTTCACTACCATAGGAGAATGATCCGACACACCAGCAATAAGAAATGTAGCTTGGATCCCTGAAACTCGTCCTCCCACTTCGAATTCACCAATACACGATCTAGTTTCTTGAGAATAGGATCAGATACATGCTTATTAGACCATGTATATAAACAGCCATCAAACTTCAGATCATCCAAACCCACCGTTGCCAAGCAATTCCCAAGATCGTCTTGCCATGCAGGCCAAGAAGAAGAACCACCTTCCACTTCTGAAGGAGATAGAACCCAATTGAAGTTCCCAATGACCACCCATGGCAAGTATGTAAACCTTCCATGTCTAGCTACTAAATTAGCCCATAGATCAACACATTTAACTGGGATATTTTCCCCATATACCACTTACACCACACAACTCCATTTATCATTACATGCATTAACACGAGCATGGATAGCTTGAGTTGAACAACCTACCAGCAAAACATCTACATCATTTGGATTCCAACATACCTAGATTCTGCCAAGCGGAGAACAATTAAAATTAGTAAGGATACTCCAAGACTTGAAGATGGCATTCGCCACCTTATTTTGATTCTTCTTTTTAACTTTAGTTTCCACCAACCCACACAGAGAAAGCCTACTGGACGAAATGAGGTGCTTTACTTCAGCTTGTTTAAGGGGGTCATTTAACCCTCGACATTCCAGTATCCAAAATATATAATTAAAGTCAAAGAGAGAATCACAACCTCAATATGCCTAACGTCATCTTCCTCCCCTAGGGGAGTGATGCTTCTTACCCTTCTTATGCTTGCCCCCCGACCCATTCTTCTTTTTTTTGAAGTGAATCAATAGCTTTTGTTGCCAACGTGTTAGAGAAAGGGGTAGAAGTATCATTGTTATCCTCATTTAGAATGGCAAGTGGAACTGGAGACTCTTCCACTTCTTCCTCTACTTCAGTAGTCCCATTAGGCACCATTTGTAATTCTAACATTGGAGATACATCAGAATTTGAGACCACTAGCTACTTATCAGGGTTATTAGCTGAAGATGATTTATCAATCTCTCCATGAGCACTCTTGAAAACCACCAGCTGCTTATCAATATCACTTTGTGAAGGTTGTTGATCAACCTCTCCATGGACCTCCTTAGAATTATTTGCCAAAGTATGAAAGCCACCTTCTTGAATAGGAACAACAACACCAGAATCAACCCTACCTGTAAACTTCTTCTTTTGAGAGATATGGGTCCACTCATCATTGATAGGTGGTTTCTCATTAGCTACACCACTTTGGTCAGCCTCATCTTGAGCAACCCAAACCTTGGCAAGTTTTTTACTCTCACTAGGCTTAGGTAGAGAAGAGCAAGAGTGGCCAAATACCCCACATTTCGAACATTTAATGGGGACCCATTCAAATTCAGCACGAATAGATATCCAATCCCCATTTGCACAGCGAAAATCAAAGTCCTCCACTAACTCCTCCAAAGCATTGAGATACAAACACGTGCAAAGCTAAGACGTTTACGTGTTAGAGTGATCGCATCTGCACGTAGAGGACGTCCCATGGCACTAGCTACATGACTCAATCCCTCCGTTGTCCAGTACTCAAAAGGGATATTATAAAACTTCACCCAAACAAGAATGCAACGCAGGTTCTCCTTGGCCAAAGTCATATTAGGTTGCCAATGTTTTAGAATTGATACAAAATTTGAAATCAGGGAAGCAGTTGTACTCTTTTTTTTTTTCCGATCAAGTTTTGTCCCACTGGATTTTTTTGACAAGATTTTAACAACGCGGATATTTTGAAGTGTTGTAAATGGTACGTTTATTAGTAAATGTTAATTGTACCCTACAACTCTAGAAATTATTATCATTGTGTCTCTGATCATTTACTATAAATATGAGACTTTGATTTTCAATAAAATATATAAGTTTATTGACTTTTCTTTTTTGTTCTTTTTTTTAAGTTTATAACAGTTATATAACAATATGAATCATTTGGCAAACAATTTCGTAAAGTGGTAATATGGTAACTTTTTCAAATTTTCTTTTAACTTATCCAATTATTTATAATTAAATTATCATTTTAATAGAGTTTTTTTTATCAAAATCCCTTTTCTACAATATGAACTAGACTTTTATTCTGTAATCTCATAAATTTGAAGTAACAATATAGATTTTTCCATTTAATACAACTAAACTAAATATTTGTTTCTTAAAAAAAATCAAAGTAAAAGTAAGAATACATTTTTACTCTCAATTATAATAGTAATACAAAATAATATCATTAAAATCAATTTCCAGTTTATTAATTGTATAAAGGCGCAAAAAAAAAAAAAAACTTTTGTTTACTAAAAGCTAAAATGTTGATTTTGAAACATGTAATTTCGAAATAAAATTTTACTAAATATGTAACTGATTCTTTTTAAAGCACAACAATACCAAATAAGATCTAAAGGGTTGACGCAGTTTGAATTTTTAAAGACTTTAAGAGACTATTTTAAGTAAATGAATCTAGTAGAATTCAACGAACTTTTTAGTTTTTACATAATCAGTGAAATACTTCATATACTTATATGAACTTTATTTACAAAATATTATAGACTTTATTTGACTTTTACAAACTTCTAAATTTAAAAAAAAAAAAAAAAAATCTTGTATATGAGTTATTGTACATCCTTTGAACATGTACTTGCATGCCTAAATGTATGATCCACAATTCACGGTAACAAAATTATATTTTTCATGTTAATAAAAATATTTTGTAAAAGAATATAAAAATTATAAATCTCAATGTTGTCAAAACCAGCCCGACCCGACCGGTTCAACCGGTAAAATCGAGAACCGGACCCAAAACTGGGTCAAATGATGCCCGGTTAATTGATTATGACAAAACCGCTAAAAAACCATGGAACCGACCGATTCAACCGTAAATCGGTGAACCGGTCACGGTTTTGAGCGATTTTCTAGATATTTTTTTTGTTTAAAATTTTTTAACTTAATGAATGAGTTTCATAAATTACAAGGATAATGCTACAGGTATAAAACATTGTCCAAAATAATGTCCAAAATGTTACCTGGCGGTTTTTTGGGATTTTCCTTCAATTTTTCGTGTGAACTCACAGTCAAACCCAAAAAAAAAAAAAAAACCCAAACTTTACCTTTACCTTTTCTTGAAATTAAACCCCTATTTCACATTCCCTCCTCCATTCCAACTCTCCCGCAAGAAAACCCTCCCAAATCTCACCTGCCCTTTTTACCCACTCTCCTCCGATTGACGACGAGCAAACAAGGAGTACAAGGTCGACATCGGTATCGTCGAAAATCGACGACAGTATCATTAATGTGTGACTCTCCTTCGTAAATGACTTTCATTCTTCAGTTGTTCGTAAATGGGTTTTTTGATTTTTTGTTTTTCAATTTCGCTTATTCATTTTTGATTTTTTGTTTCTGAAGGGAGTTTACCATTTATTCTATCAGTTTAATTTGTGAACTTATGTTGGTGTTAGTTTGATCCACTCTTTGTTGCCTAATAAAGATAATTTGTTGGTGTTAGTTTGATCCACTCTTTGCTGCCTAATGAAGAAAATTGTCCTAACTTGTAGTTGTATTAATCAATGGTTGGAAAGAATAGAGGTATCTGCCATAGCTGTTGACAGCCTGGGCATTAACTGTATGACTGCCCAAAAAAATAATGATGTCCAAACTGTGTGCAGGGAATTGTAAAATGATGGAGGTGGAGAAGTAGACAGCAAACATAGGCAGAATATTCTTGTGTTGCACTAAAGATTGTGGATATTTCGACTGGAATGACATGAAGTCTTGGAAGAAGAAAGACTTGTCATTTGAAGGACAATCTAGTGATTTTTGTGATGAAATGGAATCAAGCAGCGTTGTGACGTCTCGAAATCAAGCGAAAGCTCTAATTGACGACCTGCTAAAAAGTGTGGCCGAATTAAAGATAGAAGAAAAGGATGTGGAGATCTCGTTCAACATAACTATCTGGAGGGGAAAGGGCAAAGCGTGTAGGGAGTAGAATTGATGTTTGTGACACTAACATAATTGTAGCTATCAATCAAACTTATGTAGTTGGATATTACTTTATGTTCATTTTGAGCCACTATCCATGGTTATGCAATTGATGAAATCTGGCTTCTGGTGCATATTGTCTAATGTAACAGAGATTTATCTCAACTTGCCAATTTCATCATTTTTATGATATTTATGCTGCCTTTAATTTCCCTTCATTTGCACGGTGCTGCCTTTACTTTATGTTTCAGAGTTATGTTTTCTGTTTGCTTGTCAAGGTCTAATATTTCCAACTAATGGCTGCATTGCAGTGAGCTTGATTATGCTAAGCAATACATTTATTACACTTATGTTAATGCCACCTGAAGAGGTTATTCCCTTGAGTATACTGGGATAAGAATGAGCACTTGAGTTTGAATATGAAACCATCACCTAGCTGCAAATAAGGCAGACGTCTCATGCAACCTCACAAATGGAAATCGAACTGCGCACCAACATAATCATGCTTACTGTAATGCAATAGTCACTGTAAAGACAACATTATAATATGCTAAGCAACCAAAAAATGTAACGAAATTGTTGAAAGAAAATAAACTATTTCATACATCCCAAAATTCCAACATTTCCAACAGTTTTGACATAATTTTGACATAGCAAAGTGCCATGTTACATGTCAATTTTGAAATAGCCATAAATCAAAATACAAAATGCTCCAGTAGCAGCAAGTGAAGAACACAATCAAAATAATATATTTTGTCTCCATAACAGGTTCTACAGGTTCCACATCCTTCATTTATGCATCCATCAGGTTCTCCCCCGTCTTACGGTTTGCTGGAACCTGTACATGATGTAGCCAACAAACTAGTTCAAAATTACATGAAACGAACACATAATGGAAAGGCAATTAAGACTAATGCATAGATAGTTATACCTTTTTTCACCCCTTAATTTCTTTGAATTCGTTTCCAACAGACTTTTTTTCCGTAATTTTTTCGGTGCACCTTTGCTTTTTGTAAGTTTCGGATCCAGAATGTGTGGGCTTTCGTCATTGGGAGCTTCAAGCATACATGTATCCAAGTTACTACTATTTGATTTACACAATTCATTTGTCTGAACTTCAATCCACTCCAATAGACGATTTGACAGTGCTTCATTTGCAGCTACCAAGTCTGTCATCTTGGTAAAAGCGCTACACAATCTCTCATATCTTAATTGTTCACCTATAGACACCAAACCATCGTACGTTGTTGGGACCTGCATGTACGGTTTACTAACATCTCTCCTTCATCTCTGCATGACATACTTATTGGGGAGCGAGTGCACATTATTGTGAATTAAAATTGATATTGAGTGTTTACAAACGATACCTCGGAACTCAAACAAATGGAAATTGCACTCAATGTCGTAATTGTCTCTATGAAAATAAATTGTAAATATTTTTTTTTCATTCCTTCACTGAGAATAATATCCTCACGGACCTCGTACTTCGTTTTCCCCGGGAAGTCTTTGGCAGATAATACTTCACAATAAACCTTTCCCGTGAATTCTTGTTGGAACTCCCTAAATTTTGTGATAGTATACACCTCTTGAAATTGTTTCTCCATATCATACTTAGTGGCACATGGAACCATTTGCGAGAATGATCTAAAATTAGCTTGAAATTCCTTCTCCACTTTACTTCTCAAGGCCCGCTCATATTGCTCTACAAAAAGTTTTAAAGAAGTTTTCGAATGCACATAGCCATCAAAAAATGCATTCATACTCTCACTCCGTTGTGTGGTTGACATACCAGCTCAGAATGTAGTTTTCAAATAGCATGGTACCCAACGACTTCTCTTAATATAGAGTCCATTCAACCAATCATTATCTCGTAATTGAAAATGATCAAGCATATTGAACCAGCCTTCTTCAAATTCTTCACAACTTACTATGTCATAGACTAACACATGTATGGCATGCATTAT